TAAATTCCCAGTACTTAACAAAACCAAAAAGAATAATGAAATAACAGCCAACAGTTGCAAAGAACTTTCTGACTGGGCTCAAAAACTTCCGAACTTCCCACATGCTCAATTTCATGTTGGATAATGAAATAAGTATTCATAACAAGGGTATTTTTAGCGTGCAAGAACCTCATGGGCAAATACGTGCTTATGTTCACAAGGGCACTGTTGAAAGATTGATTGAAGGGAGGAATGCGTAAAACAGAATTAATTTGCCTACCTTCCTTCCAATATATGATAGATAAAGCACCCAGTGTCGGAAGAGCCCTACACAACAGGTTGGGTTTTGTTTAAGGGGAGAGTGAAGAAAAAAAAAAGTGCAGCCCTGGCTGACCCTGGAGCCTTTGGCCTTAATTTAATGTAGTTTCTCATCCATGTCTGGATACTGCCCAAGTGCTCCCGTCAGGATGCAGGACAAAGGGCTAGGGATATGTGACAGTATGGGTTGTCAACTTGATGGAACATAGAATCACCACGGAGACACACCTCCAGGCATGCCTGTGAGGGTGTTTATAGAGACATTTAACTAAGGAGGAAAGCCCTGCCCTGGGTGTAGGTGGCCCCTAGGGACCCAGGCTGAAAAGAGAAAGTGAGTGGAGCACCAGCATTTGTCTCCCTCTGCCTCCTGGCTGTGGACTCAGAGTGGCCGGCTGCCTCATGCTGTTGTCATGCCCTCTGTGCAATGAGGCCCTCCACTTTCAAACCGAGCCCAGTGAACCCTTCTTTAAGTTGCTTTTGTCAGAGCAGTGAGAATACAAATGAACAAAGGAGACCAGCATGGTGCTGGCTCCTGAGCTCGGAGGCTAGCCCTGGCTAGCCCAGGCTAGCCCAGGAGCCTGCATCTCAATTCCCCTCAGAAACCAAGAGTGAAAATGCCAATCGGAAGGCCACACAGCGGCTCCTTTGTGCTCCACTTGAGAGAAACTTGATGAATATGTACGGAATTTTCTCTCCATGGAATGCAAGGGGGCAGTTGTGTCACTGGTCACAGAAGGTCGGAATTCACTGCAGACTGATAAATCTTTGTGCCTAATGGACACTGCCACTGGGGATCTAACTGGGTGGCTGGGTCCTTGATGGACAGTCTTGGTTCAGGACTTTGAAGTCCATGATCTTGACTCTGTAGCAGACTGGGAGGGTGGGGGGGGTGGCCAGGAGACTGTGGCAGTCCTGCTGTGGATAGTCCCACTCAGCCAGTTTCTAGAGGATGTTAACAGTTTCAGTTTACACAGTAATCCCTAGCCCCTTTGAACAGAAGCAGGAACAAAGCTCCTGTTTCTTCCCAGATCTGTTTGAACTGGGTTTTTTTCTTTTTTCTTTTTTTTTTTTTTTTTTTTTTTGCTTTTGCTTTTTTAACATCCAAAACCTGCATCCTTAAGATATTATTTCCCCTTCACTTCTGAACAAGGATTCTAAGAACCTCACAAACTGGGAAGAGTTGGGAAGGAGTAATTGGCTGGGTGGTGTCCAAATGCAGGTCTGTTCTAGGCTGAGGGAGTCTTAACCCCAATCCTACTGTTTCTGCAAGGAACTATACTTGTTTGTTTGAGACATGGTTTCTTTGTGTGGCTCTGGTTGTCCTGGAACTTACTCAGTAGACCAGAACTCACAGAGTTCTGGCCTAGAACTCACAGAGATCCACCTGCCTCTGCCTTCCAAGGGCTGGGATTAGAGGTGTGCGCTGCCGCTGCCACCACCACTGGCTATGTTAGGTTTATTGGCTTTTCAGTGCTGGAGATTCCATCCAGGGCCTCCCACGGTGAGGGGAGCTATCATCAGTCTCCTTAGCCTTGTGATTCTGCATTGAGTTAATCTTGGACCTGGCTAAGTGAGCTTACCTGGCCACCCTCTCTGATGCTGCTTTATCCATCCCTGGCTTCCTCAGAATGTTCCAGAGTCACAGTCTTACTGTGGGGACTACAAGTGAGATTGGGGCATCTCTTCGTTTTACACAAAAGCATCCCTGAGAGACTGGAATTCTCTGACTACTCTCAGGAATCCAGAAAGTCAAACTGGTCAGGACTGTGGAGATTCCCCCACCCTGTGAGCCCCACATGTGATCAAGGGGAATACATTTGAATGGGCAAAGTCTTCAGTAACATTCTACAGCTACTGGCTTTACAAATGTGGGGGTGGGGGATGTATTTGTGTGTCTGCAGGTATGTGTATGTTTCCTTTGAGTACAGGTGCCCTAGGAAGCCAGAAGAGGGCATCAGATCCCCTGTGTTAGGAACCTCCCACATTTCAGAACAAGGTTCCTCCTGCCTTCAGTGACTCAGCACCAACACCATGCCATTACTAAAGGCCAGTGTGACATGTTTCCACTGTCTCCATGCTTGAGTATGCACATGCTCCATACCTCCCAATCCCATAAAGTCAGAGCCCTCTCCCTCTTCCCCTACCCCCCCCCCCCGTAGGTGATTGGGAGCTGCCATATATGGGTTTTGGGGACCAAACTGAGCTCCTTTGCAAGAACACCAAGTGCTTTTAACTGTGGAGTCATTTCTCCAGCCCCTTCGATTTTGTTGCTTAATCAGCCAGTGCTGGTCTCAACACCAGTGACTAAGGAAAGCAAGAAAGACCCGAGATGGGGTGGGGAGCTCCCTGGTCCTCAATTATTGGCATCCGACAACACCCAGAACAGCAGGTAGGAAATGAGAGCCTGTAGAGATTTAACCTGGGGCTTGAAGAGAGACTGGCCAGGCCTTGTAGCCTACTCCAGGCCCTGAGAGGAGGCTTCCCACAGGCCCTACTTGGCAAATAGCCCCCAGGGATTGCCTGCTCACACAAGTGACTCTTCAGACTATTGCACCAGCTGCCAGCCTCATCCCCCCTAAATTCCCTGACTGCCTGGGCCTCCCTGGAGAGGCCCCAGGCAACTGCTCAGTTTTGCTGAGGATTTTGCCAGTGACTTTTACTTTCTCAGCACCCAGTAGAGGGTGGAAGGCAAAAGCTGGTTAAGCCACTTAATCCAAAACTGAAAGGAGGCTTAAAATTTCACCAGCAGGCAACTGTCCAGGGTTGCAGATGAAAGGACAGAGAATGGTCGTCCTCTGCCATCCCTTCCCCCACAGCTCGTGGCTTACCAACTCGTACATCCTTCACCTTCACCCGTTATAGCGGCTGGGTACACCGGGGATTTTCTCAATAGCATTTGTTACAAGCCAGGCATGGTGGAGAAAGCCTAGTGTCAACACTTGGGACTAGTCCCAGGATCAGGAGTTCAAGGTCATCCTCAGCCATACAGCAAGAGTGAGGTCAGCTGGGCTATAGAAAACCCTGTCTCAAAAACATAAACTATGTGGTATTTCATATTAACTATGTGATAAGTGCTGCTCTCTGCACTTAAATAATGTCGTTTGAGTCTTCAAAACCCATGTAAGGCAAACACTATTAGGCCCATTTTAAAGACGGGAGAACTGAAACTAGACTATATTTTTGTCTTTGGATATGCTGGAGTCTAAATTTGGATTCTAATTTTTTTTTCTCTTTATTCCTCTTCTAGAGATATAAAAACCAGACAACAAAAGATTTTCTTATGTGTGTCATGTCTCCTAACACTTATCAGCAGGGGTTGTACTCCACATTTCTTCAACATCTTAGACCACTGTCAATAACACACCACAGACTTAAAAAACAATTGCAGTCCAGAGCGGCACTAAGGGAGAGCCCAAATCAATCCTCTTGCCTTTTGTTTCTTGCTTTGAGTTTGGAGGCCGGCACACTCCCAATAGCCTCTCCATAGAGAATACCTGACTGGCTCACCGTGACAGCAATTCCAAGTTGTTTTTCAGGAATTGGAGGCAACAGAAACTAGTTGAAACTACTGACCTATGCAAGTGTCCAGTGGGTGACCTTTTGACATCAGATGGCTAAAGCTCCACCCTTAGAGTCTTCTAAAGCCATGATTTTCTGAACACAGACCAAGTAAAGACTACTTCACTTTCCTCAATTACCTTTCTCCATGCCCCAGACCCTGCTTATCTCATAAATGTCCTGGAGCACCTGCCTCTTCATGTCTGGCTGGCTGCCTCGTCAATAAACTCTTTTATTTTTGGAGAATGTTTGCAATCATTTCAGTGACTGGCAGGTTGGCATGCCAAACAGTGGGCAAAACAAGCCTCATTTGGTAACCAGAGGAGCTGGATGATTGACATGGTTGCCCAGCAAGTTCATAAAAACAGCATGAAGTCTGGCAGTGCTGCCAGAAGTGCACTGAGGCAGGAGGATTGCCAGGGCTACATAACAAGGCCCTATCTCAAAAACAATCAGGAAAGTAACTTGCATAGCACCATAAGACCGTGAGGTTGGAGGTACTTTTAGCTCAGGCTGTCCAGTGAGTGAATTAATAAAAGAGCAAGAGAGAATAGTATGTGTGGAAAGTAGTGGACTGACCATCTGAGTCAGAGCTGACGACTAGAGATGGGAACTTCCAAGTGGCTTGAGTTCACCTGGTTCTTTCCCCTCTGCCAAATGAGGCACCTAAAGAACCTACTCACCATTTGCCCTTAGCCATTTGTGTCCCTGCTCTGGACTCCTAGTCTATCACTGAGGGGAACCTAGGGTAGTGGTTTAGCACAGCTTCAAAGGCAGCAAAGGAAAACAAGCCACATCTATAATCTCCAAAGGGCAAAGTTTTTTGTTTTTTGTTTTTTGTTTTTTTTTTTTTCTTAAAGCCTCCCTGCATGTCCCTACACACCCAGCAGGCACACCCCAGGCAGTGCTTGGAGCAAGACATTCTATAACTCAAGAGTGTTTTTTTCCCAGGGCTTCCCGGGGTCGAGGATGAGGAGATAAAGCCTGGGATAGGTGAGAATTTTCCTCCATAGTCATGTGAATGAATTGCCCACTTGGGAACTTTGGGGAGGCAAGAGATTCCAATCTGTGCTGGGGGAGGGAAGACCGAAGCCCAGGTCAAGGATGCCTCTCCCATCCTCCCCTTCCCCCCATGAGCTACTCACGTCGGCCTCATTCCAGAGTCCTGGGATGCAGAAGGACTCCAGCAGATCACTACCACACAAGAGCAGGATGCGTAGCTCTGAGGAGAGAGCAGAGTTTGCAAACAAACATCAGAAGGGATCTAGGAGTCAGCTCCGCTTTCTTCCTGTGCGAGCACAGAAGTCTACACCATTGCAACTGTGTGACCTAGGTCTCCCTGACAACCCCCCCCCCCCAGTTTCCTTTCCCCATCTCCAGTGGAATTTCCACATTCAGGGGGAGCCGTGTACGTAAGGTGCATGGTCAACAGTCCTGCCTACCCAAGACACAGACAAGGCCCTTGAGGGCCAAAGCAGGATGGCTGGGCTTTCTAACCGAAACAGTCAGCTATGTAATTTGCTTAAAGGCTCGGAGCGCTCCCTGCTCCCCCTCACCCCCACCACCACCCCCAGACTCTGTGGCCTAGGCTGGACTTAAACTTGATATACTGCTGAGGCTTGAACTCTGGAACCTTCCCAGAGCTGGATAACAGGAACTTAACTTCCTCCTTCTCTCCATTTGGAGTGTCTCCTGTGACGAGTAGGGATGGGATGGGATGGGATGGACGGAGACCATTGACTGCCAAAGAAGTATCTGAGTAAATCAACTGTGCCCTGTCTTTGTGGCCATAGCCCTCAGCAAAGGGCTTGAGAAGCAAGGAACCACCTCCCCTTTCCCTGCGGAGCTCCCTGCCTGTCAGTTGTCTTTCTTCCCTCATTAAGTCTAATTTGAATTATCCCAGTGAGGCCCATTGTCATTTAAAACATCCAGCAAACGGTTGCTTATTACAAAAGAGTAATGGGAAAAGAATCTAGAAATTCTTGACATTCCACAGAGTGTCCTCTGGCCAGGGTGAGGATCTCAGACTGCCCAGGTTTCTCCCAGTATGTCTGAGACAATGAGAACATCTGGGCAGAGCTGGCCACCATGTCCTCCAGACACAGCTGCTACCATGGCCCCTGCCACTGAGAGCCCAGAGTTGTTTTTTGGCTTTCTTGTTTTATTTTGTTTGTTTGTTTTTGCCTGACTTACACTCCAGGGCTGGGCAAGAACTTTCAGATGTTGAGCTTGCCCCTGTTCAACAGTCTCCATATGGGAATGAGGCAGGTGAAGAAATCAGCCAACTGTCTGGACAGTGTCTGTACTGGACCAGGGCATGCCCCCCACCCCACCCCGGAGCCCAGTGAAGGCTTAGAGCTTATATTACACAATGATCTCTTCAGGTACAGAACCTGAATTTGTCCTGTCCTGGGGCCTGGCAGTGACTGGTACACAGTAGAGACTCAGGCGTGGTGAGTAGTTAAGCCAGCAGATGGTTGTGGTTACAGAGCCACGCAGGCTGCCTGAGAGGCCCCAAGCAGTTCAGGGGCATGTTTACAAAGTCTGGTTTTCATGCCTGGGGAGCAGAGAAGAGTATCACTGGCATCTGGTAGATGGGATGCTGGTAATACATTTCACACTGCACAGGGCAGCCCATTCCACAGTGCACAGGGCAGGGACCCCCCCCCCCCCCGCCATTATATATCCCTAAAAGCTGGCAGCACCAAGGTTGGAAACCGTGAACTGGGTTTTCCATTTTCATGCTAGGACTCACTCTCTTGCCTAGACTTTTAAAAATGAGCCAAAGCACAGGAAGGTAGAATGAAACCTCTGACTTTTCTGCCCCCCAAGCACCAGAGCAGATGTGTTGTTGGTAAAGGACAGGTGACCCTGGCAGAGTCTGTGGTCCCACATGAAGCCACTGGAGGGCAGCAGTAACTTCCACATCTCCAGTCTACAAGTCCTTGAACTTCCCAGGGGAAGTAATCAACTGCTGGAAATAAGAATGGAATCACTAATGCCAAACCAGCTAGGAGAAAATAGGTGGCCTTTCCTTGTGATGTGTGCAAGGGGTTTTGTTAAGGGAGCCTGTGAGTACTAGGACCTCACAGAACATCAGGGTCAGGATGCAGGCTAGTCCTTTGCCCTCCACTGGGCTCTGCCTCCCCTCCCCCTGGTCATCTTGATCCAAGGCCAGCAGTACTCTCCCTCTACACTCCCTGCTCAGGAATTTTAGCTATGTGTAGCCCAGTGGCCCACCCCAGCTCCCACGGTACACCGAGGCAGCTGCCACCTGTATCCCTGCAAACCCTGGAGTCTGTCAGCAGGGACTTCACCACTCTCCTTTTCAGAAGCCAAGAATTCCTCATTCCCTATCTTCTTCATTCCCTGGCTCATTATCCCTTTCTGTTAGGTACTGGGAATCCTTTTCCCTTCTAGAGAGCAGATTTAAGAGGCAGAGGGGATGTCCCCCAGTAGAGATATCATAGCCTAACATAAGCTCCACGTGCTAGGGAGGCAAACAAGACCCCAGAAGTCCAATAGAAAGTTTGAAACATGGAAATACACATTGGAACACATGGAAAATCCTAGGACGGTTCTGAGCTCTGCTGGGCAGAGACTGCTGGTGGGATTGCCAGTCCCCGGAGAGGGAGGATTGCAGGGAGGTGTCCTGGCAGCCTTACCCCATCTCTGCCTTTGGGTGCTCTGGGCTTACAGTACCTACTTGCTTTGTGGGGAGAGTCCAGAAAGCCAGGTGCCCACTTTGCTGCAGACTTGGGAGCAAATGAGCTGATGTGTAAAGATACTGAAGCCAAGAAGGATGAGTAGGAAGTGAAGCACAGGGGTATTCCTCGTTGCTTCGGCTTCATGCATGCTACCAGCATTTCATTTTGACTAATGGCTCTGCTTAGAAACTAGTTGTCAAAATTCTAGCAAAGCGATGTGAATTAACTCAGGCATTAAGGTGCAGAGACAAGTCATCATCTCCATGCCTCTCAGAAACCCAGCAGAAACCCAGGCCCCAGTGCAACTCAGAGGAGTGTCAGGAGGGCAGCTACCATCTTTGCAGCTAGAAGTTAAATCCCTGTGGACTGGAGACCAAGTTGCCTCTCCTTCTAGAGATTCTCTGACCCTCCTCGACACCTGTACCAACTCCATTCTGGCCTGCCTCTGTCATCCTTTTCCAGCTGCAGGCGTTTGGGGTGTCTCCCCCCACTCCACCCCACCATCTTTCACTCTGGAACCTTGGAGAGGCTTCAGTTTGCTGACTTGCTTCAATTACTTACTCAGCTGTCAGCTCCTCCCCATCAGACAGCTGTTTATAACCAACTTCTACCTGCTCTAGGTTGAGCGAGGAGGTTGGGGAGGGGGCCTCACACAGACAGTGGGCTATCTGAGCTCCAGCGAGAGCTTTCCTCCTCTACTTGAAAGCGTTGGAAACTGGAAACTGGACACTGCCTTGTTTGTGTGCAGTATCCATGAGTAAAAACAATGGTCTTTCTCATTAGCAATGACTTTCTTCCTCTTAGATGAGGGAGGGGAGGCTGTGAAGGGAAGATTGTCTCCTGAGCCACTCCTACTGGGCAATGAGTGGAGTTGGGGATGTTAAGTGGAATCTAGGAAGATTGTCTGCAGAAGGAGCATTCTGACAGTAGACCCTGCTGCAAACACACTCTAGAGGTTTCAAGCCTTCACCCTCCCTGACATTCCTGCTTCCGTGTGACTGGAGGCAAGAGGCTCCAAATGTTCCTGCTTCCATAGCTCAACTCACCAATCTCTTCATACCGCATCACTGTGCCCAGGTTGGCATTCTCATCTGGGGAGAGAGGGGGACAGCATTAAGAAGCTGACAGCCTCAGTGAGAGTGACTGGGTGGGATGGGGAAAGATGTATCAGATGCCAGGGAGCATGCCCTCCCCTCCCGAGCAGAGCTTCATATTTTGGGGATTTTAATAATTAGACATCTCACTGGGGAACCCAATGACAGACACACTCATGTTGAGTGCCTTCTATTTCTGCACCTTAGGCTGCCCACAAGAACTGTGCCCTTAGAACCCAGGACAGGATTTGGGGTCACAAGAGATGGCCTTCTCTTGTCCTGTTGGGATGTTGAGCCATTTCCTTGGTGGGATATAGCAAAAGCCAGCACCAAAACCAAAGGGCAGAGCCTCTGGCATGTGTTCCTGGTATACACTGTCTGCATGGAGGTGTCCAAGTTACACACATGTGCACACACACAAATCTATATGTGAGTTGCCTTGTCCCTACCTCTGTCTCCTCAATCATATCTTGGTTTCCTCTCAGTGTGTTCCAAACTGCAAACCTCCATTATGGCAGAAAGCAGCCCCAAAGAACAAAAGGAACACATTCTTTTGGCTCTTTTGGGGGGCTCTTTTATAGAGTAAATTTGGGGTTATCAGAGGAAAGGCCTCCAGGGCCTGTGCTGGTCTTGCCCATGCTGAGTCTCTGAGGGGCACCCACAGGACAGAGGGAGAGAGTGCGTGCCCCACTGGAGGGACAGACACTGCCTGAATGATGATCCAGGATGCAGGCCCCACAGGGAACATCCATTGTGTAGACAATTTTATGGAGTACAGGGTGAGGAATGAGCACAGACTGGAAGAGGGAGATGACCATGAAAGGCCTTCCAAGATCACCACATCCTCTTTCTCCTATCACCTCTTGATACTGGACCTGGACATCCCTGCTTGCCTCTGGTCTCTTTCAACGACTGCTCTACAAATGATGACCCCACTAGGGTGTCCTAGTCCATTCAAGACATTACCACAAACCCCACAGGTGGGGTGCTTTCAAACAACAGGAATTTATTCCTGAGTGTTCTGGAGTTGAAAGCCCAAGGTGAAGGGACCAACATGGGCAGCATCATCTCCTTGTGTCTTTAGATGCTAGAGGAGGGTTAGTACTGTAGGGCCTTTTCTTTATAAAACATTTTTTTAAAATTACATTGTACTTATTTACTAGTTTGTGTACAATTTAACCTCATGAATTAATTGTCTCTCAAAGATCCTGATTCCTAACACTATACCCTGGGGGATTAACAATTCAATATATGAATTTCAGGAGTGGGTGGGGTTATTTGCTGGGATGGGGGAAGGAAGCCCCGCCCCCTTACCTACAAAGGTGAAGCGCTCCACAGGAGGGCGGACACAGCAGATCCTGGTGAGGCTTTCTCCCACCTTTCCCAAGATCTTGGCTATGAGAGAGAAGACAGACAGAAGGAAATAACCACTCACAACTGACACTGTTGGCTGATGGGAGATGTCATTCTGTAAATATGTTTCCCTTATTGGTTAATGAATAAAGCACTGTTGGCTAATAGGAAAGCTAGATAGGCGAGACTAGTAGATGAGGAGGAAAGAGGAAGTAGTAAGGAGGAGTCAGCATGGATAGACTGGGGAGACCAGATGCATGCCCCACTCCCCGGTAAGGAGACCACGTGAAAATACATAGCTCAGCAGAAATGGGTTAATACTTAAGACAGAGCTAGCCCATAAGAAACTAGTACGGGGCCAACAGCATTATATCAAATACTGGCGTGGGGGCTGGCGTGGGGGCAGGACAAGGCCAGCTGCGGGAGGAAAAACCTTACTCCTTACATATGGCGCCCACATGTCTAATAAGAACTTACACTTAAAATTTAACAAAAGCTTAAAAAAGAGTTTTAAAAACAAAATAACAAAGACAAACAAGTTTCTTAGTAACAGCATTTTTCTAGGTTAGACTCTAATTTGAGAGACAAGCAGATATTCGCAAGGCTCCTTTAAGGGAAGGTTCCTGACTCAGCATAAGCGGCAAAAAACCGCATGGCTTTTAAGAAGCACTGCTAACAATTTATTGGTGTGTATGAGAGCTGGCAATGGCGGTGACCACATCTCCATGCTTGCTGGATGGCAGCGCAGACCAAGGCAGTGACCACAGCTCTCAGTGCTAGCAGTAAAAGTACCCACTGCCATCTTTGATAAACTGTAGCAGAAACAGCTATGACTTTCATTTTAACAATGTTGTTGTTTACCAGATAAAAGACTTCGTGGCCAGAAAAAGATAAAGATTTACGGTAAAGACAGATTCACATTTTTAAAAAAAGCGCTAAAGGTTTACAGTGTGTTCTAAAATATATGTAGGCTTGGGAGAAAAAAGAAATAAAATGGTTTTAAAAAGACAGAGAGGAACTGGGTGTGGTGGCACACGCCTTTAATCCTAGCACTTGAGAGACCGAGGCAAGCAGATCTTGTGCTTTTTTTAAAGTAAACCTGGTATGCAGAGTGAATTCTAGGACAGATAAAAGTTACACAGAGAAACCCTGTCTCAAAAAATGAAAAAATAAAAAGTAAAAAAACAGAGTAATTAAAAAAGCCACGTAAACATGAAAAGCTCAAAGAGAATCTGGTTACTGTATGGTGTTATATTGTCTTTGTATCTTTTGACTACTGAGGAAATAAGAACAACTGTTAAAACAAATGCTGCTGGATCAATCCAATTTATATATTTTAAAAATGCTTTGACTTCAAAATTTAAGTCTAAGGACAAGTTACTGGGGAAAAGGATTTCTATTTTTGTTTCCACAGAAAATCAAAAGGTGTGGATTCTTCCCAGACCAATGTGGTTTGAGCAAGCCAGACCCCCTGAAACAGAGTACCAAGTGATCCTACATTCAAAACAGCTTAGACAAAGCAGCCTTGCAGACTACAGCCAGGATATCTGTGTCTTCTTAGGATCCCCATGACAGCGCCCCCTACCAGCAGGAAACAGTTTGGAAAGAATGACGCCCAAATTCCCAAATAGTGTTTATAAATGTTTGTTTTCATTTAAATGGGGTTGGTTATAAATGGTTAATGATCACAGCCAATTCTTTTTAAAGGTAAAAAGGGGATTATGGTATAGAAATGGATACTTTGCTTTGGAATGGATTTTCATTTATTGATAAAATTTAAGGTCAATTTTGTGATATGTATATTTTTCCTCTTGCTTAGGTATTATGTTTATAAAGCTCATTTAGAAATGCAATGTATAAATTAGTACAGATATTAGATAGCTACCTATGATAGTCAAAACTTAGAGTTAAGTTACTTAGGTTTTGAAGATGTATTTGAGATGGATAGCCATTCTTCAAACCTTTCAAAGACCTACAGAATATGGCATTTAAAATGGTTTAGGGCTTCTTGACAGTGAGACATAACTGCTCCTGGCAACATCACCTGCATCAGAAAGGAAGATGGACATTAAAGAAACTCGTTATGGAGTTTACTTTCAATATGGCAAGACTAGCCATTTGGACAAGATACTGCTCTTGTCTGGACTGTTTGACTTTATGCTGCATGAACTGGACATGTAGGACCCACAGAAAAGTGACTGCTGATTCAAGATGGGCATTGCTACAGAGTTCCTGCTTCATGGAAGAGTCTGCCAAACAGTCTGCAGGACATAGGGAAAAATGACTGACAAACTGCCAATACAAGAAGACAGTTCAAAGTTTCCTGCTTTACTGAAGAGTCTGCCAGACACAGTTCGGCCTATGGGCTGAAGATGGAAGATTACAGAAGAACTTCAGGTGATTGACAAAGTACGATGTCTCTGTCATTTCTAGAGTTTATATAATATCCTTCTGTGGTCTTTGAAGGAGTTGAAAACATATAGTTATGGTTATAGTTTTCCTTAGTTAGGCTTAAAGATAAGTTATATATAGGACTTCAGACTCACAAAGATAGGGTAGATGATGGGATATTGTCTTTAAATCTTGCTAAATGTTAATGGACTAAATAGTGTTAACTGTGATTCTTATTTGATAACTGTTATGTAATATATTTTGCTATGTTAAGGTTAAAACCCTTCTTTTTATTTAGACAGAAAAGAGGAGATGATGGGAGATGCCATTATGTATATATGTTTCTCATACTGGTTAATGAATAAAGTACTGTTGGCCAATAGGAAAGGAAGATAGGAGGGACTAGGAGACAAGGAGGAAAGAGGAAGTAGTAAGGAGGAGTCAAGATGGAGAGTCTGGAGAAAGCAGAATGCTGGCCGGCTCCCCGGTAAGAGAAGACCATGTGAAACACATAGATCAACAGAAATGGGTTAATACTTAAGACAGAGCTAGCCAATAAGAAACTAGTACTGTGCCAACAGCATTATATCAAATACAGAGTGTGTTAATTGGGGCTGGTGAGACAGTGGGACAAGGCCAGTGGTGGGAGGAAAAACCTACTCCTTACATATGGTGCCCAATGTCACCAACAGGTTCCTGCTTCCAAGAATTCCTCCGGATGTCCTCCTGTCCCCATGCCTCCTGTCCCACGCTCTCCTGCACCTCCTCCAACCTAGTTCCCCAGGTCACTTCCGCCCCTGGCTCCACCCCCCAATGGGTGTGATCAGTGCCACAGAAGTAGACAAAGTGAATATCCCCCAACAGTTGGCCCCACAGCGGGGCCACTGTAAACAACAGGAGGTCTCGGGGAGTGTGGGGTTGGAAAGTGGAAGGCAGGAGGAAGGAGGGTAGAAAGAAAGAACAGAAAGATGACAGGCAGAAGTTATTTCTTCTCATCCAAGTCCAAGGCACAAGCACTGTGAGCCATAGTGTATTTTCTTGTCATATTATTGTGAACAGCACCCATAATCCCACATCTAGATAGAACCGCAGCTTAGCATCTTGATGTATTATTTATTTTCTTCCATTTTAATGAGTATAATTCATGTATGTTGGGTCAGATTGCAAATTTAAAATGCATTGATACTGCTGCTCTTCCAATTTCCTCCCTCCAAGACAGGGTTTCTCTATGTAGCCCTGACTGTCCTGGAACTTGCTCTGTAAGACCAGGCTAGCCTCGAACTTACAGAGATCCACCTGTCTCTGCCTCTCAAGTGCTAGGATTAAAGGCATGTGCCACCACCACACATCACTCTTCCAATTCTTAATGTTATTGTTTGAATCTTAACTGTCCCACAGACCATGTGTTGAAGCCTAGTCCCTAGCTGGTGATGCTGTGGGAAGTGGTGGAAGGTTTAGGAGGTGGGCTCTGATGGAAGACAGTTAGCTCACTGGGTATGTATCTTGATTTCTCCCTCCTCTCCTTTCATTCTGACCACCACCAAGTGGGCTACCTCCTCTGCCACTCACTCCCATGATGCTGTATGCTTCCATGGCATCAAAACAACATGGCCAGCGCCCCTGGACTGAAACCCTGGAATGTGAGCCAAGTGCATTTTTGTTCCTTTAAGATTGATTTTTCTCAGGCATTTTGTCACAGCAATGGAATGCTGGGTGACGAACACATTTCTCAGGAGCTTCTCAGTGGGTTTGTCCCAAACCTGTCCTTAGCCACTCAGTCCCACTGGATAGTAGCACCCAAATACAGGACCTGAGCCTGTGGCAGACTCCATGCCAGAACAATCTCTGATGGGCTAAGGAGGGCATGCCTGCCCATGCCTGTGGTCTTCACAGTAATCAGGCATCCCAAGTGGCTGAGAGGTTGCCTCTGTGGCTCTTCCATGATCTCTCCAGGCCCTAGTCCCCAAACTTGCTTAGTATAACCCAGTACAACTGCGTGTAAATGATGGAGTCCTAGCTCTTCTTTGTAACTTACTAAGTTTATAAAAGAGCAGTAATATAGTAGTGTGTTATCTCTGGGCTTGAAAAGTAGTGGGCATTTGTCTCTTAGAATTTGTATTTGGTCATGTTTTATTTGAAACAACATTTCTTGTAGCCCAAGCTGGCCTTAAACTCCTGATCCTTCTGTTTCTACCTTCCAAATTCTGCCACCACACCCATCGTCCTCTCTTACAACTGACCTGGGAGAATTCTTTAGCCCATGTCCCTTGGACCTGTCAGCTCTTCTAATCACAAACTGTCTCTGGATCTTCATTTTTTTCATTTGTCCAAAAAGAAAAAAAGAAAGAGAAAAAAAAAAAAAAAAAGAAAGAAAGAAAGAAAGAAAGAAAAAGAAAAAAAGAAAGAAAGCATCTACATCACAGAGGTACTGCTGCATTTAATGAGAACACACATAAAGACTGAGAACAAATCACCGTAAGGCACGCGGTACTAGTGCAGAGAAAGTGTTGGTGGCTTTGCTGTTTGTTGTTGAGGAGGTGGCTATGAGTATGGGCAGTATGTACTTAATGTGACTCATGGCCCTGCTACTTCCTCACTGTGACTTGCAACCTCTCTGAAAGAGACAAAGAAAAACGCTTCCTCTCATATAGTAAATAAATACTTAAGGCAATTATAATTAAATACATAAGAAGGCATACTGTCCTCTCTCCCTCTCCCCTTCTCCGCCCTCTCTCCTGCCTCTTCCTCCCTATCTCCTCCTTCCTCTTTCTCCCTACTCCTCCCCTCCTTCTCTCTCTCCTCCCTTCTCTTTCCTATGCTTCACCCTCCTCTTCCTCTTTTTAGACTGACTAACTCAAATGCTGGGTGGGCTCTCTAGGCGATTCCAAAGATGTCCCTTACCTGCAGTGGGCTTGGTGGTCACATTGCTGTTCTGGTAAATGGGCTGGGTGTTCTCCTGTTGTGGCTGTCCAATCACAGGTGTCATGGAAGGCGTGTTGACATTGGAGAGGATGCAGCCAGTCACCCTCTGGGGAAATGGAGAAGCACTGAGTCAGTGTCTGTGGCCAAGTGTCCCCATGAACATCTGTCTGCCATACCAGCAGAGTAATGTAGCCTCAAGCCAAGGAAACAGGGTAACTCAGCAAGAAAAGCTTGGGAAGTGACATCACACAGCCTTGAGCCCAAGTTCAGGCTCTCCTCCTTCTAGCTATGTGACTTTGAACCGTCCCTGAACCTTAATTCAAGTCTGACAATACAATTCTTTTCCTTTCCCAGATGGATTCTCTGTGTAGCTCTGGCCGTCCTGGAACTAGCTCTGTAGACCAGGCTGACCTGCTTCTGCCTCCTGGGTGCTAGAATTAAAGGCCACTACCACCCTTGAATTTAAATTTTCTGTCCACCTGTCTCTACTTCCTGAGGGCTGGCATTATAGGCTTCAGCAGTCATTCTTTGTAGAAAAAAAAAAAAAAAAAAAAAAAAAGGTGGAGGGAGGGGGTGGATCTATATCTAGGTGGAAGTCAGCCAGTCTCCTCTCTTAGGAGTTAGCCCAATTGTGCAGGTCAGTCTCATGACCAAGGGGACTGGCCCTCAGGAATGCAGGCCCACCTTAAGCCATTTTGACTGTGGCAGAATTACCTGAGCAAGTACATGCAAAGTGCCTGACACTGGCAGGGCTTTGTGTAACTTTCAGCTTGCTGTGACTATCTGAGGTCCCTGCCAGCTTCTAGAGACTCAGATGAGATCACATGATGAGGGAGCTCTGCAGGCATAGGAAAGGTCAGACCAACCATAGGATCATCTCCACCTTAGCCTCTACAGGCCAGTCACTGCCAGCTGGAGACCAGTGCCAGGCAGAGTAGGATATATTTGTGTCACAGGAAGTGTGGGGTGAGTTCCAAGTCCCCTGAGGCCTGCTCATCACAATTCAGAGCCACATGGTGACTTGAGATACATTATCCATTAACCTGTGTTATCAGGCCCACCACTCCCTCAAAAGATGTAGAAAATGCAGGACTGAGAACGGAGTCTTCTCCACAGTGGAGCCAGAAGCAACTTCCCTTCACCCAGGGTCAGAGAGTGACAGAGAACCGCACGACTAAGTGCATATTCAAGGTCCCTTCCCCAAAGCCAGCATCTCTGGGCTGAAGGTGCTCATTACATTTTCAGGATTGGAGTCCTGCTGTGAGAGGACCTTCAAGCCCCAGGGATGGCCAGGAACAGCCTCTGGGCACCGCTCCTACAGGCCATCCAGCAGGCAGAAGGCCTGGAGCCTTTCTGAGCCCTAGAAGAGCAGGCATTTGTTTTGTGGATTAACCCATCTCTTCCATCTGCTCCTAACATAAGAAGGTCACAGCAACATCCAGCTACAACTGTGAGGCAGCTTCCCAGCCTGCTTTGTGGGCTACTCTGTGCAGCTGTGGTTGACAGAATAGATGGGTGATATGTTCCCTTTCATTATTATTTTATCACCAGAAAAGACAGGGCCACATTGTCACTCAATAGCTGCTTTGTGGCTGAGAAGTTTCTCTTGCTGTGTCCTTAGACCCATTTGACTTGCTCTGTCCAGGAAGAAAATGATCGGCCACACACCCTACCCTTGCCTGTGTCCTGCTCAGCACCCCATAGCCCTCTTGTCCTGAGTAGTTCTTACTTACCCAACCTCAGGTGGCCACCTCCCTGGTGAGTTTACCCTCTGAGCCAGGCATACTAGCCTCATCCCAGGACTGGGAAAGGTGGGGTTATCAGAAAGCAGCTCTGCTCTGGCTGCAAGGCTGGGGACCATCTGTAACCTACACTCAGCCAGCCTCTGCCAAGATCTACAGTTAGAGCTTAAAAGTACACTTCTATAGCTCAGGCTCAAGCTTTGGGCATGAGTATAAGAGGAGGTGCCCAGGAAGCCTGGGCATTTGGAAAACCAAACAATGGCCAAATTCTATGGTCATTATAGCCAGGCCAGCATTCAAGGATGCTCAAAGAATTCCCGACTCTTCCTTTTTTTCCCCCCTGCCTATCCCCATTCCCTGATTCTCCCTTTATCATGGAACTTAAGGCCTCCAAAATTCATGTGGCAAGTGTGAAAAATAAATTGATGTAAGCCACTAATTTTTTTTTTTTTTTTTTTTGTTATCGCAGCACATCTTCACCTATCCTGACTAACACATCCTTATTTAGGAAATGAGAGTCTCTTTGTAAAAGGGTGTATCATTTGTAGGTGCATAAGAGGGCAATGTCCACAGAGGCCAGAGGCATCAGATCCCCTGAGCTCAGATCCTCTGCAAGAGCAGTAAGTGCTTGTAACTGTGAGCCATTCACCAACTCCAAGGTGTCTTTTGTCACTCTGCTGTGGTGACTACCACAGGAGAGTAAATGAGAGGAGCCCTGTCACACTGTCTCAGAAAGATTGGTACTGTTTAATTCTACAGAGGAACTAAATAGAACGAACAACAGTCTGTTGGTCCTCCATGCTCCTCCTGCTCCTGGTCTCCTAGGATGTTTTGTGTGGGGAACCCCAGAGCAAAGGTAGCATCTTAACAGCCATCTTTCCTGCTACTCTCTTAGATACTAACATACTGGTAATTTTCCATTCCCCTATGCCTGTTTTCCTGAGTCCCAGCTGCAGGCTTATCGTATAGCAACTTATCTTATAGCAGAACACCTGCATCCTGCTTGGAAGGACATACTGCCTCCCTCACATCCTCCCTTTGGCCCATTCCCTCATTTCTCTACTACTTATACCCTGTGGTTATATTCAATAAACGAGACTTGATCAGAACACTGTCTTGCCTCCATCTCTCACGTCTCTTGTCCCCTTGTTCTCACACCCTCCCTCAGGGTCCCCTTTGGCTGACCCTGCGGGCTGGGGCAGTTTTGGACCCTAAATCACATGTGGTAAAATAAAGTCCCTTTGTGTGGTTAGTACAGTGTGGATTGGTCAGGGGCTGCTCCGTGAAGAGAGGACAATGACAGCCCCTCCAACAGTACAGAATCAGGTGGGATGCAGGTCTCCTTGGATCAGAGCAACGTCTTTTGGGTTATTTAGGGCTGGGGACTCTCCACACAGAGTATGGGGCAGTAGCCACAGAGGACAGTTTGCTGTGCTGTCAACCTGTCGGTCAGGCGTTTGGCCGTGAACAGTGCTGTTTTCCATCTGGTCGCTGCTGACTCTGTGGGCTGATATTGATCTGTCGAGGGCACTCTGCCCACATTGTGGCTGGTGCCACTGGTGAGTAGCCAGTCCTAGGTCACTGCAGGTTCTAGGCTGCAGTGGGGAACACAGGAGCTCTCCTTCATCTTAGGTCAATAAATGTCACTGTGTGTCATCAGGTACACAGGCTCCTCTCTGTGTTTCCTGTTGCCCACTAATAAAGCAGGGCTCAGACACAGTCTTCTATGGGGTTCTTATATGGAGAAATGCATAGGATGAGGAAGCATTGGTTCTTAGGCATGGCATCCTATCCTGGAGTGGGAGCCTGTGGATCTCGAATAGATGGGGAGGGAACCTGGCAACTTGTACCAAATCTAAGAGGACATTGGTTTTGGTTTTAGTTTTTAACTTTTGATTTTTATTCATTACATAGGTTACATCCTAACCATAGCTTCACCTACCTCCACCCCTCCCAGCCCCTCTCACCTTCCCTTTCCTCCAGATCCATCCCTTCTCCATTTCCCTTCCAAAACAGAAAGGGGGGGGGGGAGAGAAAGAAGCAGGCCTATCAGGAATATCAGCTGAATATGACATAACCATTACAACAAGCCTAGGCACAAATCTTCATATCAAGGCTGGATGAGGTGACCCAGTAGGAAGAAGAGGGACCCAAGCTCAAGGAAGCATCAGAGACAGCCCACTCCCACACAGGAGCCCCACAAGAACAAGCTATACAACCATAACATATATGCAGAGGGCCTAGCACAGACCCATGCAGGCTCCATGCAATCAGCCTCCGTGAGCCCCTATGAGCCATGCTTAGCTGATTCTGTGGTTCTCATGGGGAGGACACTGTTGTTTTTTTGTTTTTTGTTTTTTTGTTTTTTTAACCCTAACTAATTGAATTTCTGATCCTCCTACCTCTACCTGCCAATATAGGGGTGCACATCCCCACATCCAGTTTTCATGTGGTACTGGGGATCAAACTCAGGGTTCCACACATGCTAAGCAAGCACTCTAGTAACTGAGCTACATCCTCAGCTCAGAGGGTATCTCTGTTCCTTGCCCAGCCCTCTTCTTTGCTCGCTGAAGTCTCACAACTCTATTCTTCATCCCACCTTGAATCTGCTTCTCCAGTCGATGATAACTGCCCTCGTCAAGTCCAGCTCCAACAACATCCCCTCACCCTCAAATGGGAGGACCAGTCAGAGAGTAGAAGGCAAGGGAGCAAGGCCGGTGCTGCTTAGGTCCTAATTCATTATCTTCCCCGGTGCCATACACAGGCTGGTCCACCTCACAACTGGCAGGGAATCAGGAAGCAGATGCCAGGGCAGCAGGCCAGCAGCCTCCTCCCCCTGCCCCTCTCCTGCATCCGGCTCATCCACCCACCCTTGGCCATGGCCCAACTCACCTTCATGAGGTCTCGATGGTGTTCCAACACGCTGCAGGTCGTCTGCCAGGTGTCTTGGTAGCACTCCCATGGGTCCACTCTGCCATCACAGGAGAGGCTGCCCTTAGTCTTCATTTCATGCACTCTCTTTATTACCTCCTCCCAAGGCTCAGGGAGCTTAGCAGGCCTGGCCATGTCCCGTTTGCTTAGATCTCAAATTAGCTTAAGCCAGGCTGTGAAATATGTTCCTGAGCCTCGGTTTCCCTCTCTGTAAAATGAGCAGACTCTAGCACAGGCAGGAAAGGAAGATACTAGTGCGAGTCTCCCTGAATTTAACCCTAGCTCAACACTTTTTTCTAGTGTGTGAATCTGGGAGTGCCTAGCAGGATGTCTTGTGCTTATTTTCATATGGAAAAGGGAAATCTTCAGGCTCTTACAGGATTGGGATAAGGATTAAATGAGCCGGGGGCTCATCAAGCAGGGACAGAGCCAGCCTGGAGAAGCAGCCCTGTCGGCCTCTACTGGGTGGGTGCAGTGTCTCGAGGCTGCAAGTAAGGCCTGACAGCTAGATCAGAAGGTGCAAACCCACAGGCCAGCCAACTCCTGAACAGAAGGCTGGGAAGTGAGCAGGGGTCCTGCCCCAGACTGATGCCTCACTTGGCCTCAATTACCAACTTAATGAGCTGCTAAACAGATATTTCTGAAATGTTCTTGGAGCGGTTGAGCATCCCTGTCCATCCCCTGCTATGATTCTCAGGTTTCCCGAGTTGAGATCTTACTAAGTGAAAATGAAGGGGTCTGCCTGTCCTCGACTGGCTCCTCCTGCCCTGCCCCTGTGCCCACAAGCTTGGGAGGTAATCAAACCTCTGGCTTCACCAAACAGGTACCCTTAGTTAGGACTAGCTCATTTGTTTCCCTGCCAAGAGCTCACTCTTGGCTCTAGACACCTCAGTCTTATCTTCCAAGCAGGGCAAGTGGTAGGCACTCAACAAGTAAGTATTCATTTGATCAATGAAGGAATCATTCTAGAATTTTCTGAAAGCACCCAAGCAGGAACAGCCTCTGCCCAGTATGTTCTCCCCAGGATTTATTTCCCACAGGCAATTAGACAGCCATTTACAGCACCAGGAGATGAGGGCTCTGATCCTGGCTTGATCACAAGTGTACTGTCCTCCAACACTTTGACTTCTCCTGTTTCTTAGCCAAGAAAAAGCAGCTGCTCTCTACCCAACCGCATCTTCTTTTTTATTTTTTTTATTTGTGTGTGAGGGTGCCTGTGGGGGCCAGAGAGGGTGTCAGATCCCCTGGAGTTATAGGCAGTAGTAAGCTGCCCAAGGTAGGTGTAGGAACTGAAATCATGCCCTCTGCAAGAACAGCCAAGTGCTCAGAACTGCTGCGACGTCTTTCCAGTCCTCAACCCAAAAGAAAGTCCCTTAAGGGTGAGACTTCTCTTACAAAGCACTGGGCAAGCCCATATGGACCCCTGCTTAATTATCACTGTGGCTTCCCTTCACTTTCTTCAATTCTGCCGACCCATCCCTCCTGGGTTAACTGCATCCCTCACTCTGAGGCCAATGCCCCTCCCCTCATGGAAACTTCTAGGTGCTGCCTATTTTTCCACTGTAGGAAATTAAAGAGCAAATGATGTGCCATTATTTTTTTAAACACCATCTTCTCATGCAAATTATAACGGTAGGAACTTGGGGGACATAATTAGCATAATTAGTGGAAGCTTGCTTTAATTACACTGCTGGCTCAGAGCAAGGGAAGCGCTACCATCTTAGCGGTACAGCTAGTCTGAATGGGGGGGAGGCAGCAATCAAGAAGCTGGCTTCTGCTCAGGTCTGACTTGGTAGAGATGCCCTAGAGAGCACTGCTCAGGGGCTCCACACCTTTGTCCTGGAGTCAGTGTGGACCCTGATGGACACTGAGATCAGAAGTGGGCAGTAAACAAGGCCACAGACTTTCTCTGAAAGGAAGGGAGTTGAGGGTGAGAGTTAATGGAAGTTAATGAATGTGAGTGAGAGGCATTTGGGGTTTGGGGACCTGACTCCTCCCCTAATGATGTTTTTGGAAACTCTTAAGAATCACACCAGGACCCACAGATACAAAACTCCCTCTTTAATTTTGATTGTTTGGTTCAAAATAAACAAAGTTATCAATTGGGCCACCACTGGAGATCTGCCTAATTATGGCTGGTATGGGGCTAATATCTCCCATACTCCCTCATCCTTGTGGGTTCCAAATTACTGACCCTTCCTCTTTTCCATTCAATCCCAAGAAACTGAGGACCATTTGCCTCTGGCACCCTACCTGATCCAGCCCTACCTGATCCAGTCGGAATTCTGGACAGCCAGCTGACACATGATGAGGCGATGCCGGCTCGACACAAGGCCCTAGGAAGCAACGAAGCCATGAATAGGAGGTGGCCTCAGCCTCCCACAGTACCCAGAAACACCAGTAAGCCACCCCATTACATATGTGACCCCTTGACTTGTCCCTTTGCCACACACACACAGACCTTGAGTGACAGGGGGAAAAGGAAATGGATGAAGGATGTATGGTGTATCCCACTGCATCAGTCTGGACCAGCCAAATGCCCACTCTACATAGGCCTAAGGTTTGACCTGGTCTAAACTCAGCCTAGTTTGGTGATTAGAGTATCCCTGGGACAAATAGAAACGACTGAGGGAGATCCCACATTTTTGGAGACCTGGGACAAATTATAAGAGTCACTGGGATGCTTTTTCCAAAACAAAAATCTCAGGAACAATTTGTCCAATGCAGGTCAACCCACAGCCCACTGACAATCTGGAGGCCAGCAATCACACAGAACAGGCACACTTAACCTGATACCAATTTGGAGCCCATCACAGTCATACAGAGCAGGCATGCTCACTCCTCTCTGTAAGCAGCTGGCTGTAGTGAGCAGCTGGCCCTCCGGCTGTGGCCAGACACCTAGGTCTGACAGTGGTCCAGGGATAAAAGCCAGATGCCTACTGTTAGGCATTTAGCATTTCCAGGAATCACCCCAGAGACCACAGTGGGGCAGTTTTATCCAGAGGAGTGGTCATGAGGAGGGGGTGTGTGAAGGGGAAAAGGGGATAGGAAGCGACCTACCTGTTTTCCATAGGAGTCGTGGACAGGAGAGACAATCCCACCAATCACAATGAATCTTCCAGTCTTATGCAGATAATCCCTGGCTCTTTCTAATTAAGAGAAGAAAGCCGCATATTACAAGAGAGGAAGGGTGTGGATGAAAGGTGATAATTGAAATCAATCTGCTAGGCCCTGAGCCTGCTAAAGTTTGGTGCTTGCTATTTAAATAGAAGGTGTCGGCTTTCAAAGCAAATGGTGGTGACTCAAAGGTTAGGGAGGCAGGCGGACTTTAGCCCCAGAAACGAAAGGATTTAGAACTTAATCTTAATTTAGGGCTTAATCCAGGGGGAGAGGGTCTGTGTTGGAGAGGCCCCTGTAGTTGTGTGTGGGGGTTAAAACAAGTACCTCATTAAGGGGCATTAAGAGCTTGCTGATTGGAATTTGCTCCTTTTGTCATTTGCAGAAATTCCCGGGAACAGGAAAAGTAAGGCTCCTTAGAATATGAAAGATGTGCCAATTGCCTCATCCAATTACCAAGAGGAAGAAATAGGAAAACGAATGTAAAGGGCCTTGTACACAATCACAGAGAATTAACCACCAGCCTAGCTAGTCAACATCATTGCCGTTGCTTGAGAGAAAAAAAAAAAAAAGCCTCCTTATCCAAATTGGTCAGGCAAGACCAGAGCCCAGGCTCACTTCCATGTGAACCTGAAAAGCTTAGAAGTCTAGTTTGTTCCCACCTGCCTGCCTTGGCTGCAGAGACAGTTTACAGCATCACCTGACACCAGGTGCCTTCAGGTCAGCGGTGAGATGCCTGGAACCCTTTTAAAGTGCCTGTGCACTTTAAAGTGCCTAACACTAATGCACAAACTGACTTAGCGGAGCCCATTCTATATGGAGAGATACCATGCCTCAGCCTAGACACAGGTGGAGAGGTGCCTTGGTCCTAGGACAGACTCAATTGACTTTTAGAGGAGGCCCATCCCTCTCTGAGGAGCAGATGGGAGGTGGGGGAGAAGTGAGGCAAGCTGGGATTGGAATGTAAAAAAATAAATTAATAAAAAACAAAGGACAAAAGAAGTGCCTGTGTGACACGCACGCCCTTTGTTCTCTCTGTGGTCCCAGTCCTCTCTGTTCTTGCCCTTCTTCCTCTTGTCCCGTCCCTGTGCTCTGTCTGTCTGTCTGTCTATCTGTCTGCTGGTCAGTCTGCCTCTCCAGAGAAGGCCCTCTGCTCCGTGTCCGCTTAGCGGCATACCTTGGCCCTCTGAAAGGTACCCACTTCACCTTATTTTAATCCTCCCACTCGTCCTGTTTTGTTTCCCAGGGAGCCTGTTGAACAAATCCTATCAGGTTGTAGGTTTTTAAAGTTTTTTATTTTGCATCTGTATGTACATATTCTTGTGGAGGTGGAAACGGATTTCTCCATTTAATTTTCACTTTACTTTTACAAAATATTTATTTTGTTTATAAGTGTGTGTGTGTGTGTGTGTGTGTGTGTGTGCGCCCACACACACACAGGTGAGTGCAGATGCCAGAGAAGGCTAGAAGAGGGTGTCAGATCTCTTGAAGCTGGAGTTACGGGAGCTTCTGAGCCACAGGTAGATAGATGTTGGGAAGTGAATCTAGGTCCTCGGTAAGAACAGTGCTCACTCTTAATCTCTGAGCCAACTCTCCAGCACCCTAAATTTAATTTTTTTTTAAAGACAAGATCTCTCACTGAACCTGGAATTCATTGACTCTGTCCAAACTAGCTGGCCAGTGAACCCCTATTTTTATTTTTTACCTTTTATTTTATTTATTTCAGTTTTTCTGTTTGTTTGTTTTTGGTTTTTGTTTTTTTTTTTTTTTTTGAGACAGAGTTTCTCTTCACAACAGCTCTATCATTCTGTAACTCACTTTGTAGATCCGCCTGGTTGCTGAGATTAAAGGTATGCACCATCATGCCTGGCTTTCTGGTTTTCAGAATGTAGGAGTATTTTGCCTGCAATTGTGTACATGCCTGAAGAGGGCTTCACATCCCCCGGAACTGAAGTTACACGGGGAGTTGCTAGCTGCCATGTGGATGCAGGGAATTGAACCTGTGAGGCGCAAGTGCTCTACCATGTAGCCACCTCTTCTGCCCCATGCCTATCTTTTCACGTGGATACTGAGAACTAAAGTCAGCTCCTCCAGCTTCCGGCAAACACTTCCCCAGTGGGGCAATCCTTGAAGCCCTAAGGTGTGGGTTTTGTGATGAAGCAGGGCAGTTGGACAGTGAGGCTGGTTGTAGATTTTACAATGAAATTTTCATGACCTTGGTGGCCCTCTGTGCACTTAAAAATAATTCTCACCACAGTTGCTTCTTTTATCCCTTCAATATAAAATCTTAAAAAGATTTTTTTTTTAACATTTTAGATTTTTTTCGGGGTGAATGGGGGACATTGTGCCTATAATTCAGTAAATAGCACGGTTTCTTTTACTCCTCTCCCACACAGGTTCCCCATTACATGAACAACCTTGCACATGTGCAGCACATTTGTTGAACTGTTGTGCACAGATTCCTTCTGTGTTCTAGAATTCTGTAGTTTTGATAAGTATGGAACGCGGATCTATTACGAAGCACCACAGGCGAATCTCATTGCCCTGAGTCTCTAAATGCTCTCGCCACCTATTCATCCCTTACCCTGACCTCTGCCAACCATAGTTCTTTTCACTATTTCCTGATATTTGCCTTTGCTGCTGGTCAGAATGACGCAGCACACACTCCTCAAGCTGGGCCCTTTTGTTAACAAATGCACTATGCATTAAGTTCTCCATGTCTTTCTGTGCTGGCTAGTGCTGGCTGACACAAACTGGAGTCATCTGAGACAGGAGAAACTCCACTAAGAAAATGCCACCATAAGATCAGGATATAGACAAGCCTATAAAGCATTTTCTTAATTAGTGATTGATGGGAGAGGGCCCAGTCCATTCCTGGGCTGGTGGTCCTGGGTTCTGTAGAAAGAAGACCAAGCAAATGAGTAAGCAGCACCTCTCCAAGACCTCTGCATCAACTCCTGCCTCCAGGTTCCAGTCTTGTTTGAGTTGCTCTCCTGACTTCCTTTGGTGATGAACAGCGATATGGAAATGTAAGCCAAATAAACCCTTTCCTCTCCAAGTTGCTTTGGTCATGGTGTTTTATCATAGCAATAGTAACCCTAATGAAGATGCTTACCATTTTAAATAGTTTATTTTTCTTCATCAGTGAATAATATTGCATCATCTAGCTGATTCTCAGATTGCTATTCTGTCCACCTGCTGAAATACATTGTCATTGCTCCCTGGTTTTCAATGATTGTAAAAAAGCTGATGTAATATTCATGTAGTTATTTATAATAGTTATGTTTTCAGCTCATTTAAATAAGTATATAGGAATAAGGTCACTGGATCATATGGTAAGAATATACTTAGTGCTACAAGAAACTGCTATTGACTTCCAAAATGACTGTATCATTTTTTAAAGTTTATTTACTTCTTTCTTTAGTATATATATGGTATTCTGCCTGAATGACAGAAGAGAACACTAGATCTCATTACAGATGGTTGTGAACCACCATATGGTTGCTGGGAATTAAACTCAGGACCTCTGGAAGAGCAGCCACTGCTCTTAAACTCTGAGCCATCTCTGCAGCCCCTGACTGTACCATTTTGCATCCCCACCAGTGGCAGTAAATGAGAATGACTATTGCTTTGCATCCTTACCAACATTTGGTACTCTTGGGTTTGTGTATTTAGTCATTCTGGTAGGCATGCTACTTTGTTATCTATCTATTTAAGACCTGTTTACTTTTGTATTTTTTAATGATTCTTTTCACGTGCATTGGGTTTTACCTGCATATGTATCTATGTAAGGATGCTGGATCTCTTGGAACTGGAGTTACAGACAGTGTAAGCTGCCATGTGGGTTTGGGAATTGAACCCAGGTCCTCTGGAAGAGCAGCCAGTGCACCAAGCTGTCTCTCTAGCCCTGATTTATTTTAATTTATGTATGTATGTGCACATTTATTTGCTTACTTACTACTATAATGAAAATGCCTTGAATGCTATTGGTGGCTCACACCTTTAATCCCAGCACTTGGGAGACAGAGGCAGTCAGATCTCAGTGAATTCAAAGCCAGCCTGGTCTACAAAGACCAGAACTGTTACACAGAGAAACCCTGTCTCAAAATAAATAAATAAATAAATAAAATAACAACAATAATAATAGTAATCATGAGAAAAGCCAACTTATAAAATAGTTTATTTTGGCTTATAATTATAGAGGGTTACAGTTCATAATAGTGGGGATGTCATGGCAACAGGTAGGCATAGTGGCAAGGCAGGAAGCTTAGAGCTCACATCTCAACCTCACACAGGAATCAGAGTGAACTGGAAGTTGGGCAAGACTATAAACTCTCAAAGCCCACCCCCATTCACACACATGTACTTTCTCCAGCAGTGACACCAAATGGGAACCAAGTGTTCAAATACCTAAGCCTAAGGAGAACATTTCTCAGTTAAACTATGTGTGTATATGTGTGTGTATGTGCCTGTGTGTGTGTGTGGGGGGCGGCCCTGGCTGCCCTGGAACTCGCTCTGTAGATCAGGCTGGCCTCAAACTTGGAGATCAGCCTTCCTCTGCCTCCCAAATCCTGGGATGAAAGGTAGGTGTGTACCACCACTGCCTGGCTGTAGTAAGCATTATCTGTTATGCCTTCTCTTGAGCTCCTAACTTTGATTTTGAAAGAAGCACTGTTACTTCACCCATTAAGTCTTATTTTGGTATTTGAATGAATTCCATGGTCCACCCTCCCATCTCTTCTCAGAGTCCCTTCACTTCTGTCTTTCTCAGGATCAGATCCATCTGGCCCTTGGCTGTCACAGACTCTTAGCTGCAATGAGCCAACTCTTCCTTAATCTCCTCCTTTCTCCAACAAGTGTCTGTTTACTTTTTACTTATCCATGTATTTCATTACAAGCCCAGCTCTTTGTCATGTCCAATATGTCTGGTCTGTTCAGCATGCTCCTCCTCTGGACTTACTTTCCTAACACTTCACTATGTATCCAGTTCAAGGGACCTGGAAATCCTCTCAGCTCCTCTTGTATTTTATGG